CTAGTATTGGCTTTGAAAAGCTTACGTGACAGACGTGATAGACTGTAACTTTACTTTACTTTTATGACGGATAAGCTTGTCATAAGCTTAAATTGTTGGTGAAGCCATTTATTCAAGCGGTCCAAGCCTGTAACCTCATATTGTAGGTTTATAGTTGACTCGCCTAAACCCAACCATTTTAAGGTTCCGTACCCAAAGACTTTATTGGCTACGCTAACTATCTGTCTGTCTGTCTCACTGTCACCAGGCTGTGTCTCGTGAACCGTGATAGTTAAACAGTTGAAATGTTCACATACTATAAAAAGAAACTGTAATAAAGTGTATCAATTTTTTAGCTTTTCCCTACGTACTTACCTATTTGGTTCTCGATGATTGTAGATGTGGCAATAACGTATTCAACTACATATAAAATTAATAAAAAACTCAAGAATATCCGGGGCTGCCATTGAATGAATTACCAGCTTTGAAGTTTTATAGTAACGTGAATAATTGCAGATAAATTAGTGCTATACTTACACCCCTAATGGGTAGGCCGTACCACTACAGTGGGGACCTTTATAAGTTAATGATGATACTATTATTTTTTTATTTACGATGAAATTAACAATAGTTGTGGCAGACCCCGACGAATATTCTTGAGTTTTTTATTAGAAAAACAGTTACTACCGTAAGATTTATTTAAGAGCCCTCACTAATCAACTAAAAACTGCATTAAAGTTGTAGTTTTGTTTATGCACAAACAATGTTTGCTACAGCGCCCCCTGGTGAACACCTATATAACAATATGCAACAATCAAACCCGAATCCATAACTGAATACTGCATCAAATCGGAGTAGTAGTTTTGTAGAAAAATGGCAATATGGATTTGCACAAACAATGTTTGCTACAGCGCCCCCTGGTGAGCTGTCACCATAACACCTATCTAAGAACATGCAACCATCAAACCCAAACTCATAACTGAAAACTGCATCAAAATCGGAGTAGTAGTTTTGGTGAAAAATAGCAATATGGATTTGCACAATCAATGTTTGCTACAGCGCCCCCTAGTGAGCTGTAACCATAACAACTATCTAAGAACATGCAACCATCAAAACCCAAACTTATAACTGAAAACTGAATCAAAATCGGAGTAGTAGTTTTGTAGAAAAATGGCAATATGGATTTGCACAAACAATGTTTGCTACAGCGCCCCCTGGTGAAAACCTGTATATTAATATGCAACAATCAAACCCGAATCCATAACTGAAAACTGAATCAAAATCGGAGAACTGTTTTGGAGAAAAATGGCAATATAAATTTGCACAACCAATGTTTGCTACAGCGCCCCCTGGTGAGCTGTCACCATAACACCTATCTAAGAACATGCAACCATCAAACCCAAACTCATAACTGAAAACTGCATCAAAATCGGAGTAGTAGTTTTATACAAAAATGGTGGCAATATGGATTTGCACATACAATGTTTGTTACAGCGCCCCCTGGTGAAAACCTGTATATTAATATGCAACAATCAAACCCGAATCCATAACTAAAAACTGCATCAAAATCGGAGTAGTAATTTTGGAGAAAAATGGCAATATGGATTTGCACAAACAATGTTTGCTACATCGCCCCCTGGTGAACACCTATATATTAATATGCAACAATCAAACCCGAATCCATAACTGAAAACTGAATCAAAATCGGAGTAGTAGTTTTGGAGAAAAATGGCAATAGGGATTTGCACAAACAATGTTTGCTACAGCGCCCCCTGGTGAACACCTATCTAACAATATGCAACGATCAAACCCGAATCCATAACTGGAAACTGAATCAAAATCGGAGTAGTAGTTTTGGTGAAAAATGGCAATATGGATTTGCACAAACAATGTTTGCTACAGCGCCCCCTGATGAGCTGTCACCATTACACCTATCTAAGAACATGCAACCATCAAACCCCAACTCATAACTGAAAACTGCATCAAAATCGGAGTAGTAGTTTTATACAAAAATGGTGGCAATATGGATTTGCACATACAATGTTTGTTACAGCGCCCCCTGGTGAAAACCTGTATATTAATATGCAACAATCAAACCCGAATCCATAACTAAAAACTGCATCAAAATCGGAGTAGTAATTTTGGAGAAAAATGGCAATATGGATTTGCACAAACAATGTTTGCTACATCGCCCCCTGGTGAACACCTATATATTAATATGCAACAATCAAACCCGAATCCATACCTGAAAACTGAATCAAAATCGGAGTAGTAGTTTTAGTGCAAAATGGCAATATGGATTTGCAAAAACAATGTTTGCTACAGCGCCCCCTGATGAGCTGTCACCATAACACCTATCTAAGAACATGCAACCATCAAAACCCAAACTCATAACTGAAAACTGAATCAAAATCGGAGTAGTAGTTTTGTGAAAAATAGCAATATGGATTTGCACAATCAATGTTTGCTAAAGCGCCCCCTAGTGAACACCCATCTATTAATATGCAACAATCAAACCAGAATCCATAACTGAGAACTGCATCAAAATCGGAGTAGTAGTTTTGTAGAAAAATGGCAATATGGATTTGCACAAACAATGTTTTGATTCAGCGCCCCCTGGTGAACACCTGTGTATTAATATGCAACAATCAAACCCGAATCCATAACTGAAAACTGCATCAAAATCGGAGTAGTAGTTTTGGAGAAAAATGGCAATATGGATTTGCACAAACAATGTTTGCTACAGCGCCCCCTGGTGAACACCTATCTAACAATATGCAACAATCAAATCCGAATCCATAACTGAATACTGCATCAAATCGGAGTAGTAGTTTTGTAGAAAAATGGCAATATGGATTTGCACAAACAATGTTTGCTACAGCGCCCCCTGGTGAAAACCTGTATATTAATATGCAACAATCAAACCCGAATCTAGAACTGAAAACTGAAACAAAATCGGAGAACTGTTTTGGAGAAAAATGGCAATACGAATTTGCAGAACCAATGTTTGCTACAGCGCCCCCTGGTGAGCTGTCACCATAACACCTATCTAAGAACATGCAACCATCAAACCCAAACTCAGAACTGAAAACTGAATCAAAATCGGAGTGCTAGTTTTGGAGAAAAATGGTAACACGGATTTGCACAAATAAACATCCTCTCACCCCAAACGCATATAATGTAAAAAACAGAAGACAAAAAATAATTGGGGCTCCCATACAACAGACTTGAAATTTTTGCCGTTTTTATAGATTGAGAATTGTACGGAAACTTCGTGCGCGAGTCCGACTCGCATTTGGCCGGTTGTTTTTTAATTAAACGATTAAAAAGATCTGTACACAATTCTCTTTACTTTACCATACTTTGGTTTTACGGTAAAACGTTTGTGCAAAAACAAGCAAATAACATAGCAATCTAAGTTTCTCCATTATTTAATATCCCAGCTTAATTCTACATAATGAAAATCGTTCCGAAGTTTGTATCTTATAAATGTTCTTATTGGAGTATACGTGGATAAGCTTTTCATTCAATATAGTACTAACGAAGTAAAAGAATATAATTATTTAAAATATTATTTATGCGTTTATTAGATTATAATTAACTTCCGTATATTTTAATGCAAATCGCTCCTTTTTCTACTATTCATTAAATTGTTAATTAGTATCAATTGTATTGCTTCAATAATTTCGTTTTCGCAAACCGCTTCCTTCTTGGAACGATAACTTCACGATAAAAGTTGCTTCATTCTTAAAAGTAAATTTATTTTCAACAATACAAGTTTGCGTGAACAAGCTCTATGTAAAATATTATTAATATGTTTACTGAAAATAAAAATTAAAAACTTCAATGAAAATAAAATACTAACAATATTTGAGATGATAATATAATTTATATGATTATTAACAAACGGACTAGAATAAATGGAAAATCTAAAATATTAAAAAAAATTGTGAATCAATTATTAATTTTCATTTAATTAATAATAGATTTTATTATTGTTTAAAAAATACTAATATATACACATAAATAAATAAAAATATGAAAATACTCAATAATAATACAACCTAATAATAAACAAATGAATATCTCCCCTACATATAAATAATTTGTTTTCTCGTCTGGTTGGGTTTATAAATGAAAAAATAAACATATTGATATATATAGCATATATAAAATAAATATTATGAATAAAAATATAAACTTACATAATATATACATATAAATATTTACCTAATTGAAAGTAGAATAAGTATTCCAAATTTTCATATAACTCTAATTTCTATTATTGATAAATATAAGAAAACGCATAAAAAAAGGGTCTCTCGTGCACTCCAAATGTATACCGAATATAGAATATAAGATAACGATAAAGACGATAATTATGACCTCCCGAAAACAAAGTTAGCGATGAAATATTACGACTACACAGGAGCCGAACAAACGAAATATATTGAATTTTGATATTTGTTAATGTTTATTGCGCGAGATAAATTAATTTCGTTCAGTTTGATCAGTGTGTTTCTAAATATTTTTGTTTGGTGAACATTTTTTTTGAAATAAAGGTAGTTTAATTTTAATTAATAATGATTTAAATAATTTTAAATCGTTCATATGATTTATTTTATTTCACGTTACAGGGAATTTATTTTCGTTACTGCCCCGATGATAAAATAACAGTCACGTATGAACTTTAAAACATTATTTGTCATAATTATAATATGTTTTAGGAACTTATTTGAGTAGCGACAAAACTAAATTAGGTCTCTCTTATTTTGTTTGAAGAACTTTTACGCATAGTATATTATTTGTAATAAATTATACAAGAAAAAAAAAGCAAGTAACAATTTCGTCTTCATGTTTTTTTTAATTTTTAAAGCAATGATTTTAGACTTTTTGATTATGAATATAATTTTAGATTTACGATTCACTTAATCTAGACAAAAATAAATCAACAAAATGATTATTTTATTTGGACTTTATAAATTCAGAAAAAAGTATTTTTTTTTTTAAATTGGAAAGCAATGAAATCGCGAAGCCTAGCCAGCTTTTCAAGAGATGGACAGTATAAAGTTCGCAAAGGCGGCCAACAACGCGCCGAGCAGGTAAAACGGACGTGGACGAAGATACAAACCTGATGGCGCGCAGCCGGAACCCTCCAAAACGTTCGCCACCGTACATCGTGCCGTTTATTGTTGCTCCGCGTAAACTTTGACCGTACAATGGCAACCGCTGGTGCGTTGCATCGCCGCGGTGTCCCGATGCCGACTGATCGCTCCGCACTGTGGGGTGACTCCAGCAAGCCGACCCCCCTTCCCCCGCCACCTTCCGCTCGTTGGACCTACCCCTCGTCTGTTCACGGACCGCCCTAGTCAGTGGATTCGTGTCGAAAGCTTTGCACAAGCCCCCCCCAATCGGCCGATCCTCGGTACCACATTAAATAAAATAAATATTTATGTCCTGAAAAATTTTATCACCACATTATGCAGTCCCGAACAAAGCTTGTACTATAGATACTAGGTACTGTAACATACTTTTTTGTAAATAAATGCATGTTATAGATATATACATCACTCATTAGAAAAACCCTATGTTCATCGCACAATAATTTTGAGTGGGCATTGAGCCCGCAAACTCTGGCGTTAGACTGGCTCACTAACCACTACGCCAATCAAAAGGTTGTGTAGATTATAACTGAGATTGTCCAGTCTCACCGATTTTGAATCTGGACGTGCGCGTTCCTCTTCACGTATGGCTTAAACCCATTTTAAAATACAAGACAATCTTATCAGTAAATCTTTCCCCTAAAAACTACTGTCGAAAAGAACCACCACGACGGTTCAGCATCTTCGTGACATGATCATCGTAATAGGTATTACGATAATTTGAAACTCACCAATTTTTCAGATACAGTTCAAGACTAAAAAGACTAAAGGACTGATCTGGTGCAGTAAGTCCAAGAAAAAATCTAATTATAAAACAGAAAATTTTTGCTCGAAAAAAGAATCTGGAAACGTAGGAGGAATCAATAAGCGTAAATAAAGACTAGCGTTGTTCGGACGTTAGCTCTTAATACAATTCGACAGAGCAAATAAATGTTCATTGTTCAACTAGATCTTTCGCGGACCTGAATGGAACTACGTTTATAGCCCCAACTTAAGCAATTCGGGTACATCCAACACAAATAACCGAATGGAACACGACGCCGGAACAGTGTTAGTTACGCTACAGGCCGATCCTTGAAAGTTTTGGCGCTAAATAAACTATACTATCTTGTATCGTGCACTGAACATCGTCCTTATATTACATTATCCGTCCAAGGAATACATAAATTTAACACGGTTTGACTTATTAAGTCATTCTTAGCGTGACGTAATAAAGGTTACTGTCGCCTAGACCGATCTAGATTTTGTTGCAAGCGGCTATCTTTATCAAATGACCTCGTCTGCATTTGTGTGGAGGGAATTGTTTTAATAAACAAAAACTCTCAAGTCTTAAAGTCTAACATAAACTATCCAGGCAGGTTTTTCAATAGTTAGTCAATTGCTAGGTACGGTCTCATTTCCATACTGACTAATTAGTAATAAATATATTAGAATACCCTATTATCTTTAAATCAAACATAACCTTGGGCGAGTTAGTTCTGCAGTGAAGGAAAACAGTGGGGATTGATGTTCTGGGGTGAGGTTATTTATTATGTTGGTTCATGTCTTAGAAATATTTTCAATACAGCATTCCATAGACAAGTGTTGTTTTACCATCCACAGCCAGAGTAAAAGGATGCACACACATGTATGTTGGAGTTCTCTAGGTCAGTTCTATTGAATTCAAAGGTTTTCTTACTAGCGACGTCACTATCGTCTCGGCTACAAAGTAAGTTTCCCTCTAAATGCAAATCCTTAATACGAAACAACGTGCAGCTTAAATCGCTCGAGATTTATCTTTTTTTATGAAACCTTTTATATATGCGACACAGGCGGAAATTCACCTTTTAACCGCAGCAACGTAACGTGTTCCTTGAATTACTTTTTGGTTTTGAAATTGTAATTGTTAAATTTTACGTTACCTCCATGTTTCATTATAAGTCAGCGATAGCCTGTGTCTGGCCTCTGATCCTCGGTCGCGGGTACGAATCCCACAAGCTTCATCAAACTAAAAATTCCTACCACTAATAGCTGTAGCTAAATTGCGTGAAAGAATTTAGAGTTGCACATTTGACAATCGCCTGTAATATGGCACCAAATAAGTTTCGTTAATTAGTACTAGCTCTGGTCATCGCTATAAACCCCACTAGTACGTTAAGGAGAATTAATGTTGCCAATAGAATAACGCTAAAGTTCCCATTAGGAATAATTGTTCTATTCTTATATTATTTTTATGTCCATTGCTTATAAATTATGTAAGAGAAAATTGAATTTTGGAAATCGTAATAATCTATCTACTTTTCATTCGAGAAACATAAAATCGAGTAAAAATATCAAACTAAAACGATAGCAACATAACTCGCCATATTTTAGGCACAGTGAAAAAAGAATTGGAAGTTATATGCGAGGCATAACAATAACATCGCGGCGCTGTATTTAACAGAACCCGAGCTGCCTGCAAATTGTTTTGCCAATTTAAACGTTGTATCACAAAAAATTGCAGTTTTTTTCGTTCCGCTCTTTTCCGTTTGAGGTATACGAAGTACTGTGGAAAATAGTGCTATCATCTACAACTTGGGTGATTACTAATTACTTACACTGAAGACCACATGGTCGGAAGGAAAATAATTATTTGTAAGAAATAATGCACTACTTCTATTTTTTACTCTTCACTAGTTCCCTCTTAAATTCTCTATAACGAGTCTATGGAAAACAATGGTGACAGCCCTCCGTTCAGCAGACAGAGACGAATTCTGAGCAGGGGAGGGTGGAGCAGGCTGGAACAGCCTACGCTGGTTCGTCCGGAATCACAAGGAACTAATGCGTTACGCATTCTGAGAGAACGTAATAGACGTTATAAAGTAATTCGCGCGTGAGTGAACACACTTCGCGCGGTTTAGTCCTGAATGTGTCATTTTCTCTGAAACTAGTGTTAGCTATTAAACACTGTTTCGGTTTTTTTTTTTCGTTATAAAAGTTAAAAATAATACTAATTCGAGTAGTCGGTGTGTACACGCTTTCGTTTCGATTGCAAAACACACAAGTGTTGAACTTGAAAATTCATCATTGCCAAAGGAGTTCGAAACGAGTTTACCTTTCGATGGTGAAGTTTGTTATTTCTACGTTTGTTCACTTTTAAAATTTCAGAGGCGAATCCTTCGTGGTTTTTGTATGATTATCTATGAAAACGGCAAAAAAACTGTTGTATAAGCCCCAAATAAATATTTTTATTCTGTTTTTTAGTACCTATAGCGGCGACAGAAACACATGAAAATTTCAACTGTCTAACTATCACGGTTCATGAGACAGCCTGGTGACGGACGGGCAGAGAGACAGACACAGACAGACAGCGGAGTCTTAGTAATAGGGTCCTGTTTTACCGGACGTTTTTCGGTAATGGAAAAGACTATTGAAAATGTGAATATTCTTTTCAATTAATTAAATTAAATTGAAGTTTTATGCACGTTTTAAAAAAGTCAAACAATGAAAACTTTGTTGTCGTTTTGTGCACGTGATTATAATTATAATTCTTAATCATGTGCAGAAAATTAAATAAAAAAAGAACACTGATTTTCATAAGCAACTTTTGTATACATATACACAAATGAACATGCAAAACGCACTCGAGTTGCCTTTCAATATACATGTATACGTAGCATGCTTGTATATAGTTAATGTATACTACGTAATTAACAACCACGGCCTTATTCAACAAAAAAGTATGAAGCGCTAATTTTTATAGCATACGAATCGAGCTGACGTTGAATATGTCGCATAATGGAGTCTACGACACGTGAATTCCTTCCACGCAATGCAAGCACCGTTTACTGTCGGCATCTGAATTAGGATACTTTGTTTTCAGTCCACACTGATAACATTCTTCAACAATATATACAATTTCGCTTGGATCGATGCTCATTTAATATTGATTCGGAATTAACTTACTGCTAATTACCCTCGTGTTACTTAATTAATATAGTTTAGTGCATATTAAAACATGGCCTAATTATTCTAATTGCATGTTAAATAAAATGCAATCTTAAAATGGACTGTAGTATTTTTACTAATATTGAATAATTAGAGTGTACGTAAAATTTTGCTGTATAGAAGAAAAACGGAGAAGAGAGAGAAAAGTTACCAGTATAGCACAATACAACAGTGTTGCCACATTTATGTTTAATTATTAAACATAGCCTATAGGACAAGTAAAATAAAAATCACTCCTCGATCTATAAGTGAAAGCATCGTAATCCTAATTTAATCTTATCAAGATTATTAAAGTACAAACCTTTCTTATATGAGTTATAAAAAGTGTAAAGTAACAGCCTTTAAATGTCCCACCGCTGGGTAAAGGCCTCCTCTGTACAGAGGGTATCAGGGCACAGTCCACCACGCGGCCTCACTGCGGATTGGCGGACTTCACATATTTTCGAAAATTTATTTTTATTATTATTTCGAAAATATACAGGTTTCCTCATGATATTTTCCTTTACTGAGCACGCGATAATACAGCACTTAAAATTAACAATTTCATTGGCTCGCCGCCACCTGACGTCGAACTCAGTTTGCTCGAGCATGTGAAATTAAAATCGAGCGCCCGTATAATGAGCTATCAGGGCTCTAACTGTCTCATAATATTAAATAATATTTGCAACTATATATACCACTTCTAAATGAAGGGAAAAATTTGAATTTTAAAAAGTTATACTTTGTTTGTCTCGTTACAGAAAGCTTAATCATTCATCATAATGCAATTGGGTAAATGAGCATCCGCATAGTTATTATACCATACATTTTTGGTATACATGCAAAATATTTCATTAATAAACGCAGAGGCTGCTGCGGATTTATTGCCGTTTCATTATAATGCATATTATAACTTTGAAATTTACTGGTCGATAGCTTGATTTACAACCGGTTGCCGATTTTCACTGCTGGCTCTCGTTTTAATCTCTTGAATACGCAATTTTGATATTTAAATCACATCGAGTTATACAAGATAAATATTCTGAAGACTAGATTATTTATTTTTGGTAATTCAGGACTAAGCTTTGCGAAGAGAGCTGTCCTTATTAAAAAGGACGGAAATGCACATACAGCTGTCATGGTGACTACATAAGAGGCCGCGCGTATCACGTCGCCACAGTCTATAAAAGTCAACTGAATGAACTCTTAATTAAACGATAATCTCATATGATTTTTACTAGCCAGTACGAGTAGAAGTAACATAAATTACGACAAAGAAAGACTTCTGTTTTTATATTTAATCATATTTTAGTGTTCCGTACCCAAAGGGTAAAACTGTATCTTCAGGATCCTCCTATTACTCCGCTGTCTGTCTGTCAGTCTATCCGTCTGTCACCAAGCTTTATCTCGTGAACCGTGATAGGGAGAGACCGTTGTTTTCACAGATAATGTATCTGTGTTGCCGCTATAACAAAAAATACTAAAAAACAGAATAAAAAAAAATTAAATATGCTTTTTTATAGATAATGGTACGGAACTCTTCTTTCGCGAATCCGACTCACACTTGGCCGGTTTTTATTTATTTAATTGTTATCATTATTCTGCTCTTGACTGGTCTTCATTTAATATATGGACGTAATTTATAAAGACAATATTTATATATATTATTAACACTGAACTCCTCCTAAACGACATGACCGATTTTAATGAAATAATGTATGTGTCTTCAGGTCGATTCGGGAACGGTTTAGGCTCACAACTCAGTCCACTACAATTTTTTTTATTTCTAAGTAGTCGATTAAAGTCGTGTGTATAGGACAAAGTTTAAATGAAAGTAGTTCTATCCTTTTAGAACGATTTGTACAGAAATATAGAAATATTCGTTTGGAGGTCGCCCTCGATATTTATCGCGCAAATCGGCCACACTGAGGGCGTAAACGATAGCCTATACCGACATGCATATACAAATTGAAATATACAGCGGTTGTCGAGGTGTGACAGCACCGCGGAGAGTGAAAGTCGATTATGTCTCCCTAACCAATAAAAGTTACTAAGTGGGATAAAGAAAGATATCCCATGAGTATATCGTCTCGTTTATTTACAGCCGTTCCGAGAATTACTATTATTATTATTATTTAGCGCGTCCTAGATATGGAAGGATTTACCACCTGAGTGAGTGTGTCGAATTATAAATTTACAAAACAACTCAGGCTCAACTTGTTCATATAACTTTAAAACAAAAGTTGTGTTCGGTTCAAAATTAAAGCAAAATTAAATACTAATTTTAACTTAGTAACTATCTTTTATTTAATCAAATTTTTTGTTTCACTTCGTATTTTTCACTGTATTTGATTTTTTTTGTTTTCTTGTCCAAATCTTCTTTTGAGTCTTCTTCATTTGTGTTATTGTTGTTATTACATTACATTATGGTTATTACTATAACTAGACCTTACTGAACAAAATATGCCAACTACCGCTAACATTTGTAAATGATGATGTAAAGCTTTACTAAGGAATAAGCTGAAAATCAGCACTGCGAAATTCTCAGAAATCGCTGAGCTGTTGCCTAAATGTTATTTATGTAGTTTTTTTATATTATAGTTTTGTTTCATATCTTTTTCTTGGTCCATATTTCTCTACGTATTTTTCTCATTTTTTTTTATTTATGGCAAATGAAGTGTTATTATTTATTTATTTATTTAACAACGATTACTAAAAACAGATATATTTAAGTAGTGTTCCTTAGAACAGAGATGTATTTTGTATGATGGTACGAAACCGGCACTTGGCCGGTTTTTATTATTGTTTAGTTACCAATAGTTACGGTTTGGAAACTCATTTCTGTTTCGTCCGTTTCATTCGGTCTTTTATCTTTATATGTAATCCAACTTCTATCGTATTACCGTACGTGCAAATTAAACGAAGTATGCCCACTGAAGCATAAGAAATATTTGCTTTCGACACTTAACGGTAACAGTACCTTAGATACATGTAGCCCGCATGGCGCATATGGTCGTGGACCGTTATTACAAACAACTATCGTTCCCTAAGGAAAAGTGCCACCGCCAACAATCCAACTGTATACGAAGCATCGCCGACTTACCTAGCTAATTCGTATAAGCGCTGAATAGAGATTGCCAGTGAAATTCCGCGTCGTATTCGCATTAGTGCCCAGCGGGACTGCAACTCGAGAACGAGATAGGATAGAATGTTCTATCTTTATGATATTCAACAGCGTGTTAGCTCAGTGTCGCCTGTAATTCAATTTACTCGAACAACCCGGGTTCGATCCCCGGTACCAGCATCAATGAAATTGTTAAATTTACGAGTTAGTGCTGATTTATCACGTACTCGGTGGTGAAGGAAAACACCGTGAGGAAACCTGCATATTTTCAAAACAATAACAAAAAAAAATATTTCGAAAATATTTGAATCCACAGTGGAGTCGCGTGGTGGACTGTGCCCTAATACCCTCTTTAAAAAGGAGGCATTTGTCCAGCAGTGGGACATTTATAGGCTGCTACTTTACTTTTTAACTTTTTTAAGTCTATCCAATTTGGTATTGTATTCAATTCAGTGTGGTACGGCCACACAGTAGTCTTTGTCTTTGTAAGTACTACAGCCTCACATAAATTTAATCTTACAAGCAAACTATTGCCCCATGATTGTTTTCAGCTTACAATAGTGAGTTCATAAGTTTATTAGAAACTTATGTTTTTTGAAACGTAAAAACGTATAGTATAAATGAGAAGTTTTTGTTTTCATGCAACGACAACTAATATATTTTTTCTGTAATCATTACAGGTCTGATTTTAAATTAATTCGATTTGTTTATTTAATACTGTAAAAATA